GAGGGGGAGAACAGGGGATTCTGTGGCTATTATGTTGAACTGAATGGTGTTGTAAAATAATAATAATAATAATAATAATAAAGATGAAGTGAGATAACATGTGTTTCTATTTATTATATAGAACTTGCAACATAGTAGACATTTGCAAAATACCAGGATATGAACTTTTGGGCATTAATTTCCCCAAAGTCTACAGTCATTTCTTCATAATATATTAGTTGAGGGGTTGGTGCAGGGGAGGACTGCTGTTTTGCTCCCTGAATACATGTTATAATTTTTTTTTTTTGTTCTCTCTGTACCGTTTTTTTTGTCCCACTGAAAGTCTTCCTGACAGCCAGCTTAGACTATTTTAGCTAAGTACCCCAAATCTACTATGAGAAACTTTTAAAATGCATTCTGGTTCAAATATTTATATTTGGTTAATATAATTTCAGAATGTTATCTTTCCCTTTGGAAATTAGTATTTGCAGGCCCCATTTGTAAATGTAACTTATGAAGTGGGTACCCCATATTTGCTGTGCTCCATGGAAACTGGAATGTTCTAAGCTGATTGTCAGGAAGACGAAGTGGGACATTTGTGTGATGCTGTTGTTTCTGTTGTAGAATTGTATTTTCAGACCTTGTATAGTGTGCAGCACAGAATAACCAGCTTTGGCAGCATTTGGGTTTTTTGCTAGCCCTCTCTCATATGTGATGAGTCAGCATATTCATTAGTATCTCCAAGGTGACTGCTGTGTATGTTCAAATTTAAGGAAAAACATAGCTCACTCCTCAGCCTCCTGAGTGAGCCACTTACCATATCTGACTGGTACACATGTTAAAGCTATTTGGGAAGGAGTATTGGATTAAAGTAGATATTGTTGACAACTTAACTTACGCATGATTTTACTGTGATTGCATCAAATAGTTTTAAATGGGATAGAAAATGTAGTGGTTAAAAACAAATTATTCAACATATCTTTGTCTTTTGGCTCCCTAACCAAAGTAGTAGAAGCATAGTACAGTGATCCTTTATGTTATTGATTCCACATTATGCTAGATTCATTTAAGTTCTATAAAACCTGAGGTGAGGAAGGGAATTACAATGAAATGAGGAAATACTTTCATGCAGAAGATGCAGGGTGGCAAATAAGATAATTGAAATATTATCTGGGTATTATTAGCATTTAAGTATTACCTGGCCTGCCCCTTGAGGACCTGGCCAGTAAGCAGGCAGTACTTTGGCCTGCTCAGGGTCCTGACAGTGGCATCTATATAGAACATTTGCATTCCCTAGGTCCCCTTTAAGAGCAACCCCCCCCTTCCCACGAGGCCTTCTGTCTTCCCTCTTTCCTGTCTCCTCTTCTCTTTCTTCTTCCTCTTCTCTCCTCAGCTCTTGTGTCCCCCATTCCCCGCACCACCCCCCTCCAATAAACTTCCCATGTGAGTGCTGTTGCAGGGTGTGAATGACTTTCCGCCATGCCCCTTGACTCTAACCCACCAAGGCTGCCTGCTGCCTATTTTAAAATACAAAAAATATCATTTAACCTGAAACAGCATGTTTACTGTTTTAGACATGGATCAACTTGTTCCAATAGAAAGCTATAATGTTTGCTATTTGGGTTTTTTAAAATGTTAGATTGTCTGGGAGGAGGGGACTGGACCTGCCTGGACTGAGTCTACCAGGTCGATCTCAGTCCTCGGGGGAGGACTTGCTCTGGAGAAGGTGGGAATGGGGGGTATACTCGGGGGCAGGAAGGGGGAGGACAAGGGAATCTGTGGCTGTTATGTAGAACTGAATGGTATAGTAAAATAAAATAAAATAATAAAAATTTAAAAAATGTTACATTGTTTTTATGTGAATCTTCCACATTATGAAAAAATATTTTAAAGAAAAAAACTCATAGAAAATGTACTTAATGTCTGTCTTAGTTACTGTTCTGTTGCTGTGAGGAGACAACATTTTCAGTGCAACTCTTTTAATAAAAGAAAAAATGCTTTCTTTTATTAAAGAAAACATTTAATTGGGAGCTTACTTACAAAGTCTGAGTTAGTCCACTGTCATGGCTTGGGAGCATGTCAGCAGGCAGGCATGGCATTGGGGAAGTAGCTGAGAGCTCACATCCAATCCACAAGTTGCAGGCTAAGAAAGAGTCTGTGCCTGGCTTGGGCTTTTGAAACTTCAAAGCCACCCCCCCAGTGAGTCCTCTCCAGCAAGGCCACACCTTCTAATCCTTCCTAATAGTTCGCCAACAGGAAACCAGATAGTCAAATATGTGAGCCTATAGGGCCCATTCTCTTTCAAACCACAAAATCCTAACATTTATGCAGTATCTGGAATGTTGGTACAACTAGGATTGAGGTTCTGGTTCCCTCATTTATACCTAGATTTTTGGTTTGGATGGGTTTTATTTTGGTTTTTTGAGACAAGGTTAACTATATAGCCCTAGCTGACCTACAATTCACTATGTAGACCAGGCTGTTCTTATAAAGAGATCTAGCCAACTCTGCCTCCTCAGTGCTGGGACTAGCCTGGTTATTCCAGTTTATATGCTGACATCTGAAGGCTTGGAGCTAGGAACCACAAGTAATAGAGAACTTTTGTCTTTCTGCATCTGGGTTACCCAACTCAATATATTTTTCTAGTTCCATCCATTTACTTACAAATTTCATGATTTCATTTTCCTTCACAGCTGAATAAAACATTAGGGAGGTAGGTAGGTAGGTAGATAGGTAGGTAGGTAGGTAGGTAGATGATAGATAGATAGATAGATAGATAGATAGATAGATAGATAGATAGATAGATAGATAGATCAATCGATCACACTTTCATTACTCATTCATTAGTTGAAAGACATTTGTTTCCATTTTCTAGCTTCTGTAGAACAGCAGTGAACATGACTCAGCAAGTACCCTGTAGATAGAGTAGGATTTCAAGTTCTTTAGGCATTGTCAGAGTGCAATAGCTGTGCCATTTGGTAGATTTATTTTTAGCTTTTTGAGGATTCTCCACACTGATTTCCAATAGTGGATGAAGGTTTCTTCCTCCATTCAGCATTTGTTGTCAGTGGTTTTGTTAGCCATTCTGGCAAGGATATTCATTTGTATTTCTCTAATTGCTGAAGATGATGAACACTTTTCATGATGTATCTTAGCCACTTTTATTTCTTTTGTAACTCTGTTCTGATCCATAGCCCATTTTTGAAATGGATTGTTTTCTTGATTCTTTGTTTTTTGTGTTCTTTATATAGTCTACATATTAATCATCTGTCAAATGTATAAGAGGCATAGATTCTTGCCCTTTCTATAGGATTCCTCTTCATTCAGTTGTTTTCTTAGCTGTACAGAAGCTTTGGTTTTATGAGAACCAACCCTATGGAAGTTTGAATGAAAATGACCCCATTGGCTCATAGGGACTAGCACTATTGGGAAGTGTAGCATTATTGGAGTAGACATGTTGTTGGAGGAAGTATGTTACTAAGGGAGGGCTTTGAGGTCTCAGAAACTCAAGCCAGGCAGAGCAGATTGTTGACTCTTCCTGCTGCCAGATGTAGACCTTTCAGCACCACCTTTGCCTGCATGCCACCATGCTTCTTGCCATGGTAATAATGGACTAAACCTCTGAACTGTAAACCAGCCTCAATTAAATGTTTTCCTTTGTAAGAGTTGCTGTGGTCATGGTGTCATGTTTTATTTACAGCAATAAAACCCTAAGAGGGCCACACTTGTCAGTTGTTGTTAACTCCTCAACAAATAGAGTCCTATCTAGAAAGTCTATCCTAAACCTATATCTTAAAGTTTTCTTCTAGCAATTTCAGTGTTTCATGATTCATACTGAGGTCTTTGGTCCATTTGGAGTTAATTTTTGTGCAAGATGGTATAGACCTGATTTCAGTAGACATCTCATTTTCTCAGCACCATTTTATGAATCTTTGTGTTTGGGATTCTTTTATTATTAAATTTTACAGTCAAATATAATTTAATAGTTGTATAATTAAAAATTATTATTGCTGTAAAAAACATCTCAACCCAAAGCAAGTTGGGGAGGAAGGGGTTTGTTTTCCTTATATTTCAACATCACAATCCATCAAAGGAAGTCAGGGCAGGAACCTGGAAGGCAGGAACTAAAGATACCATAAAAGAACATTGCTTACTGGCTAACCCTAGGACTACCTGCCCAGGGGTGGCACCACCCACAGTGAACTAGGCCCAGCAATCATCAATCATGGCCTGAAGTACCACAGGCCAATCTACTGGGGCTATTTTATTAGTTGAAATTCCTCTTTCAAAAGAAACTCTAGCTTGTGTTAAGTTTACATAATGTTAGACAGCAGAGCATCTTCAAATATCAGATGGCTATAGTTATGTGTACATATATTTGGATCTTCTCTTTTGTTCCATTGATCTTCGTGTTTATTTTTGTGCCAGTGTCATATATCTTGAAATATAGAATGGTTATTCTTCTAGCATTGTTCTTTTTTGCTCAGGATTGCTTTAGCTGTCTAGGGTCTTGAGGGGTTCCATATGAATGTTAGGATTTTTATTCTTTTCTGTGAAGAATGTTGTGGACATTTTCATTAGTATTGCATTGCATCCATAAATGTCTTTCGGTAAACGTCACTTTTCACAATATTAATTCTAATCCATACTCATGGGAGGTCTTTCCATTTTCTAGTGCATTCCTCTCTCTCTATTCAGGATTTCCTTTTCATTGTAGAGGTCTTTTACCTCCATATTTAAGTTTATTCCTAGATATTTTAATTACTTTAAGGCTGTTGTCAATGAGACTGTGTCCCATGATCTCATTCTTTGTTGTATATAGAAAGGCTACTGTAAGTTGGTATTTTTTTTTTTAATTCTACAACTTGACAGAAATTGTTTATAGTTTATAGAAGTTTTATGGTAGAATTTTTGGGATCTTTGTTATAGATAATATGGTATTATTTGCAGATCAGGAGTATTTGACCCTTTTTCCTACTTGTACATTTTTAATATCCTCTTACCTTATTGTTTCAAGCAATATTGGAAAAGAGTGAGGATAGTGAACTGTCTTGTTCTTGATAATTATTTACTGTTTTGATGGGGGAATTTAGATTGACCTAGCAGACACATTTCTAGGTGTGTCTATTCGGGGGTTCCTAGAAAAGTTTAGTGATGCTCTGAATATGGGCATCAGCACTAAACTGCCAGCTAGATTCCTATAGTGCATAAAAAGGAAGAAAGTAAGCCGGGCGATGGTGGCGCACGCCTTTAATCCCAGCACTCGGGAGGCAGAGCCCAGCGGATCTTTGTGAGTTCGAGGCCAGCCTGGGCTACCAAGTGAGTTCCAGGAAAAGGCGCAAAGCTACACAGAGAAACCCTGTCTCGAAAAACCAAAAAAAAAAAAAAAAAAAAAAGGAAGAAAGTAGAAAATGAGCTAAGGACTTGCATTCTCCTTCTGTTTCCTGATAGTCACCATGGACCAAGTTTTCTCTCAAGTGGATTGCAATCAGCTGATCTGTAACAATGATATACACCATTTCACCAGTTACTTGTCTGTTATTTGGTCATAAAAACAAGAAATGATGAAACTTAGACCTGTGAGATGTTCATCCTAAGTTGGAACCTCTAAAAAATATTTTTATTAATTCTTAGAGAATTTCATAACAACATATCTTGATTATATTCAACCCCTACCCCTCCCCTGAACTTCTGCCAGACCCACCCACACCCAGTGTCTTCTGGTTTTTAGACTATCTCACAGTAGCTGTCTTGACCCTCTACCTCCTAAAATCTTTTTATGGTACTTCCTGATTTTAATGGGATTGTTTATTGATTTCTTTTTCTCTATTTTAAAGACAGTGGTTCTCAACCTTGATAATGCTGCAACCGTTAATGCAGTTCATCATGTTGGAGTGACCCCCAACCATAAAAAAATTATTTTCATTGCTACTTCATAACTGTAATTTTGCTACTATTACTAATAATAATATAAATATCTGATATGCAGGATATCTGATATGTGACCCCTGTGAAAAAGTCATTCAACCCCCAAAAGGGTCTCGACCCACAGATTGGGAACTGCTGATTTTACGAGATTGTTGGCTGTTTTTTTGTTTGTTTATATAACCTTTATTTTAAGGTTTATTCTTTCCAGTCTGACTCTTCAGGATTTTTATCCATAAATGCATTTAAGAGTTTGTCAAAGACTTTCATGTTTCTATTGAGATGGTCTTGTGATGATTTTTTTACTTTAAGCCCATTTATATGATTTGTTTACCTACATATATTGATTGATTCATCCCTGCATTTCTGGGATAAAACCAACTTGATCATGGTGGGTTATCTTTTTGATGTGTCTGTATTCAGTTTGCAAGTATTTTATTGATAGTTTTTGTATCTATGTATATCTGGAATATTGGCTTGTAGTTTTATTTTTTGTGTGTGTCTATATGTAGCTTGGGTATTAAAATAATACTGGCTTTAAGAATTACATTTTTAAGCTGATTTTTATTCTACTGACTGACTTCATGGATAAAAAATAAAATCAAAACAATATTTTTTGTTAAATTTAGCTTGCTCAAAGTATTTACTCATTGCAGAGGGTGTTGTGTGCTGTAGACTAACTACCAGAAGACTTGCTCACCTGCAAACTGCAGAAAATGCTTAGCAGGTGTATTAATGGAGCATTAACCACATTATTTTTCATCTTAGATCAGAGGGATTATATCTGTGAATATTGTGCTCGGGCCTTCAAGAGTTCCCACAATCTGGCAGTACACCGGATGATTCACACGGGCGAGAAGCCATTACAGTGAGTATTTACTTGCTAGTGAACATCTGGGTAGGAGTGCATTTAACTCTCTTGGAGGTTTCTTGTCCCTTATAAACATTTCAGTTGTCACTATTTATTTTTACTAAATTAAAGACTAGATATTCATTGGGGAGTTATTGTTGACTTTTTCTTTCTTTCTTTCTTTCTTTCTTTTTTTTTTTTTTTGCTATTCTTTATAAATATATTTTTATTATTTTGAGAATTTATTCTGCCTTAACCACTTCGAAGCCACCCTGCCCAACCCCCTTTTTGAAATAAGACATGGAACATATTTTGTGGTGCCTATATACTTGAATAGGACTTTTTTTGTTCGTTTGTTTGCTGTTGCTTTGCAAACAATTTTTTTTAGTTAGATTTCCATCTAACCGTTTCCTAATCCTTCATAAGAAGTATGTGCTATGGATTATTGTATGTTCTCACCTGGCACTTGATTTAATAGTTCTCTGCTTGATCATTCATTTCCTTTGGCTTTCCTTTAGATGTGAGATCTGTGGATTTACTTGTCGACAAAAGGCATCCCTTAATTGGCACATGAAGAAACATGATGCAGACTCCTTCTACCAATTTTCTTGCAATATCTGTGGCAAAAAATTTGAGAAGAAGGACAGCGTAGTGGCACACAAAGCAAAAAGCCACCCTGAGGTGCTGATTGCAGAAGCTCTGGCAGCCAATGCAGGCGCCCTCATCACCAGCACAGATATCTTGGGCACTAACCCAGAGCCCCTGACACAACCTGCAGATGCTCAGGGGCTTCCTCTTCTTCCTGAGCCCTTGGGAAACTCAACATCTGGAGAGTGCCTACTGCTAGAAGCTGAAGGGATGTCTAAGTCATACTGCAGTGGGACAGAACGGGTGAGCCTTATGGCTGACGGAAAGATCTTTGTGGGCAGCGGCAGCAGTGGGGGCACTGAAGGGCTGGACATGAACTCGGATATACTCGGTGCTACCACAGAGGTTCTGATTGAAGATTCAGACTCTGCTGAACCTTAGTGCAAAGGAAGACTTTGGGCACTGGGACAGTGCAGACTTTGTATTTAAAAGATAAAAAGGACAAAAAAAAAAATTTAAAGCATTTAAAATCTAGTAAAATAACTGAAGGGCCTGCTCTTTGCATTGTGGATCACAGACACACACACACACACACACACACACACACACACACACACACACACACACACACACAGACTCTCTGTCGTCCCCCCCACACACACACATACACTTCTCCTTCTCTCTCCCTCCACCCCTTCCCCTGAACTCCCCTCACTCATCCTTAAAACATTGATGTTGCCTTTACCAGAAAGGTCATTGAAAAAGCAGCAGCATACTTGGTTCCAGCCAACAGCTGACTTCCTGCTCATCGGCAGATCTCCTTTTCCCAACCTATAACTGATGTGCTCTGGATCAGCTTTTAACTCATAATAATATATTACTGTCATTTAAATCTTTTCTCCTCTACTGCTGCCCTATGGCTCTGGCTTCTCAATGCAACAACCAACACTTATCAAATATTATATAATTCTATTTTCTGGAGGCTGGCAGCTTGACTTGGCACTTTAGGGCCCCTTAGCAGGATGCTGTTAAAACAGCACATATCTCTCACCCCTCTTCCATTATTTACTGGGTTTGGGGAAGGAAGGATACATGGGGACCACCTCCCTCCCCTTCAGTGGATCCCAGCACCTCAGTCCCCCCCCCCTCCCAAACCTCCATATGGCTCTTAATGGTGCTCACTTGCTTGGAAGCAGGCTCCCAAGAGAGAGGGGACTGCCCTATGTACGTACAGTCTTCTGTAAGGCTGTAAGACAGGGCTCTATGTCAGTGAGAAAAGTCCCAGGCTAATGGCAGAAATTTGCACTTTGAACATGTGTGTTTTTTGTGTTGTGGAACCTGAGATTCCTTATTTATTAATGGAAAGTCTGATTTTTGGGGGGGAGGGTCTTTGTTGCTATGTTTTGTGGGGCTGGGAGAGTAGATTATTCTGACATGGGATCCTTCCTACAAGAGGTACTTTGAAGGCAAGGCTTAGAGTTAAAGAAGCACAGCCAGCCTCTAAAATCATAGTTTTCCAGTGGCCTTTAAAGAAAGCTGGTCCTCAGCACTAACAGAATCACTACAGTAGCCTAGTGCTTTTTTGGAAGCCTTAGGGAAGGTTGATAGGTTTGTGGTAACTAGTGTGCTCTTTGAGATACAAGGATTTGAGGGGATGAGGAATGTTGTTCAAGGTCTGAATCACACTTAAAAGATTTTTTTCTTCTGTGATTTTATTTTCTCTTTTTGTCCTTACCATTCATTTCTTTGCATTTATCTCCCTGCTGACCTAATTGGCTCTTTGTTTTGATTTCGGTTTTGGTTTTGTCATTGGTCATTCCAGCTCTCCCTTAGTGGAAGACCAGACCCTGTCATTCATGAAGGAACAAAATTAAGAGTCCTAGAGTATTGGTTCAGAGAAAACTGTTGTGTCTTGTTTCCCCTATAGAAAAGACAAAGTTTGAATAGACATAAACAAAGGTGGAAACCTGTGTGATAATGTCTTTGGCTTTCCCCGAATTATCTATTTTTCTTGGAGTAGGAATTTTAATGCATTGTGGATTATTAATATCATTGGGAGATGCAGATCGTGTTTTTACATGCTTATACCTCTCAGAAGACTAAAACCCTAATTCAGCTTCCCTTTTTTTGAGAATTAGAAGTGCAGTTCCTCCCTGTGTGCTTCAGAATCTGCCATTGAAGACCTGGCCGGTTGTCAGAAATACATGATGACTGTTGGGAAAATTAAGAGTCTGACTGAGAACAAAATAAGGAACAGCTTGTTTTTCACAAACACTAAAACTATGGAGTTTATCAAATTTTCTCTGTTTAATTTTTTCTCAAAAAATGTCATCTCTGAAAGACACTTACTGTACACCCACCAATGTCACTGGTTGGGATGCCAGGGAGGAGGGAGGAAGACACCTACAGGAACAATCTTAAACACATTATTGTTTTCTCTAGAGTGTTGCAGACTTTGCCATCCCTTCCATGTGAGGGAAGAGAAGGCATGAAGACAGGCTGTCCTACCCCACAGAGTTTGACTTTGGTACATTGGTTTGAAATGTATATTGACTTGGTACATTGGTACACAGATTTGAAAATACTGTAAGAGTAATTATAAATGGAACTGCAACAAAGTTGCTCTACTTGATACTGTTTCTCTAGCTAATATCTGTATCCTACACTTACCCTTTGTTTTTCACATTTAGACTGTCTCCATAAATTTCACTTAGAGTGGTTACTCATCCATCAGATATAGCCACCCACAGGAAAGCAGACTGCATTGTAAACATCTCTTCTTTCTGGGATGGGGAGAAATATGTTCTTTTCTGTACCTCACTCCCCTCCCCAGGAAAGCAACTAGTTATAATAATTAGAAACTTTCAGTCCTCTCATTTGGGGGACGGGGTGTAAAGGGGGCTCGGTCATCTTCATAGCTACCATTTGCTGACAATAAATTATTGTAGCAGTTTGCAATAAATTTTAAGATATTTTTCATGAACTTTTTTTTCTTTTGAGAATAAGTGCTTGCATAGTAAAAGTATATGAGCAAACTAAGCACCATTCCCATTTTCTTTCTTCCCATGCCACTTGTTGAATTGTCCTTTAAGGGGTCTTTTTAATCTTAAAAAAAATGATAACTATTTCATACTCATATCTTACTATCTTTTAAATAACTAGTCATACCTTCATTTTCATTTGGCAAGTCTAAATTTTATGGATATAGTTGTGATAATTACTCGGTATTTCTGGGAGTTATGTATACTCCTTGCTTGGGTTGCTGGTGTATTTTACATAATTAGACCCTAATACATTTTACAGGATTTAGTCAGACACTGACTGGGAGTCCTGGAGATGAGCATGCAAAACATCATTATAGAGCACTTGGACCTCCCTTACACCTGTTTGGAGGAAGAATGTGAACCCAACCACCAACCTAAGTGAGGTTTTACAGCCTCACTGCAGACCAGTTTTGCTCCTGTCCTTCCAATTTTCCATATATTCAAGAAAATCAGAACATTGTAATGGGGCAGTTGTATTTCCTAAAATCTTTTTTGCCTGTTTAAATGTGCAGGACCCTTTTCCTGTGATGAGAGATAGGTGGTTACTTGATTTAGGTTTAAAAGTTATGTAAAAAAAAAAAAAATTATAATAAAAGGGATACTTTGCTTTTAAAATCTTGTTTTCTCTTAATCTAGGTAACCATATTCAAAATAAGTATGTAAAGAAGAAAAATAAAAGTTGTCTTCCTGGAAGCAACTGGTCTTCCTTGGTTGTACTGAGTTAGTCATCCAAGAGTAAAACAGTTGATGCTGCTAAATGAAGAAAACAGATGCCCCCAGGGTAGGCTTTTGTATGCTGCTATTTGCTCTTTGTTGAGAGTTGGGTAGCGGTTCTAATGCTGAGATGCCTTGTAGTTCTGTGTTTGGCAGCCTCCAAATGGTGTTTGAGTTGCTTACTTGGGGACATTAGGATACTGTGAAATACAGTTTACTCTGATAATGACAGAACCTTGGTTGTATTTAATATCAGTTCTTCTTGACAAAGCTGTTAATACCTATGTCAAGTTCTAATTTAAAGAGAAAACATAGTCTAACCTTGGTAAAAGTTCAATGACAGTCATTTCTCATTTATTATTTGCCTATGTCAACTTGCTCCTGAGATGGCAAATGTTTGAACTTGGCAACGTGTGATATGAAATAGGGACACTCATTGACCCATTTAAGGATGAAACTTTTAAACTTTAGCCAATTAGCATCACCCACTGAGTGCAGTACGATAGAATGGCAGATCTGTAAGCACCTTTTAACTCTTTTGTCCTCATTTCAAAGCCTTGTTCATTCTCTTGTTCATTCAAAGCCTTGTTTAGCATGGAGTATGACTGGGACTGGGAAGAAAAAGAAGCATGTTGTCACTTGAGTAAAACTGCCTCAGAAATGTTACCAAGTTAGGGTTGGGTGTTTCCTTTGGGAGCAAACAGGCCTAAACAGTGCCTTCCACATCCTGTAGCTACTAGGAAGGCACCATGATTGAGATTAGAGATGCTCCTTTAGCTAATTTTTAAACAAGTTTAAATTAACCTTATGAAGTATGGGAATGGGAAGATGCTACAAAGGACCTGTATCATACAGTATTTGTCTCTTGCACAAAACAGGAGCTACACAAAAAATGGTAAAGGGAGAGGGGAGGCAGGATAAGCCCAAAGACCAGTGGAGAAACATAAATCTAGTTTATTGGATTAACTTCTTTGATAAGTTTCTTATATATCAAATGAGAAAATATTATTTACACCCAAAGAGAACTAATACATAGCTCAGAATAACTCTAAGAATCAAATGAAGTTTAAATGCTATAACACAGTATTTAATAAATGGCACCTAACTCAATAATACACTTTACCATATTAAAAAAAAATAGAATGTAGAAAGCAGAATAAAGTCAACAGATTATATGTGTAAATAACAGACTATGTTAGGCAGGGGTGGGTATCATGAGGATTAGTGTGATAGTGACCTTGTTGCTAAGTACAAAAGCAAAACAATGACATAAAAACAAGTGCTAAGTACTGAGTGGAGGAGAGAGATGGAGGCAGACGCTTCGGAAAAAAAAGACTGATTAAAAAGGGCCCTTTGATTCCACAGGCACAAAAATCCACAGCCAGGAATTTGCTGCCACCTCTGAGTCAGGCAGGGGGTGGGGATGGGGGTGCACAATCCCATTAGAGAATGCCCAGTGGATTTAGTCTGTGGGAGTCACATTTCTTATTTGGCCCAGTGAAGACAGAAGCAAACCAGCTCACTTGTTTCCTGGGACAGTTGATTTAGGGGATGGCTTTCGCAGAGCAGTCACCTCTGACCCTTCACCGCCGGGACCTCTGTAGCCGTTCTATCTGGCTAGCAAGGAAGATTCGTTCAGACCTGACTGCTCTTATGGAATCTTATGTAAGTTGTCTATTTTGCTGTTGTCTGTTTTCAACTCAACTCTTAACCATCAGTGTTTAACCCCATAACCAATTATGAAAACTCTAGTCTTAATTGTCATTCATATATTAAACACCTATAATTTGGCATGGCCTCTCCCTTGAGAAACCTTACTGTCTTCTTTTAGGCTGCATAAGAGACAGGTCTTTTCCTTGAGTGAGAAGATACATTAGTTGATTTTCTTTTTTTCTGATTCCTACCAGGATAGACAGTAGACTTTCTAAGTTTTGGTTCTTCATAGAATTTTTGAGCTTTGGAAATAAAAGGGTTGTAGCTCTAGGAAGAACCTTAATGGAATTTTGGGGAAATTTATAGTTTCCCTCTGTATAGTATAAGCTACCTACATTTTAGTTTTCCACATCAGAAGTATACCTGTAACTAAATAGATTTGTCAAAAATATTCCCTGGAATATTCACTAGAGTCTTGTAGAAATGTTAAATTAACCATCTCAGTTAATTAATTTAGTTGCAAAGAACAGCAACTATATATATCTTCAGATTCTATTTGGGGAAAAAATGGGGCCCACTGTACTTCCATACTTGGAAGCTGGGGCTATGCATTAATAGACTGGTTTAGTGTTGACTAGTGTACTTGAACATTGGGTTAATCACTTTTTATAGCAAGTTCACAGATGAGTGATAATGGTACTATAACTACATATTCGACAGTACATGGAATGCTCAGGTTAAGTAGAGTTCTGGGTTTCTCATTAAGGGCCTCCGTGCTTCAGATAAAGTTAAAATTTATGTTCTCTAAGAATTGATAACTTTTGAAAAGCCTTGCCATTTATTAGACTCTGGTTACCCTTTTAAACCTAGTTCCTACTATGTTTTAAAGGATTGGTCTCAACATGAGAGTATACATGAGGGAATAGGGAAATTCAGATAGTCCTTCAAGATCGTGGCTCCCCAAATGAAGGATTTCCATTCTAGACATTTTTCTTACAACTTGGGTCTTTGACTGTAGAAGTGAAGGAGATTTTATTTGTGATTGAAGAAAGGAATTAAGATGATATCGAACATACTATGTTTTGCTATATCCTCGGCCAGGTGAAGCATCAGGGCCTGAATAAAAATATCAACCTGGACTCTGTGGATGGTGTGCCAGTGGCAAGCACTGATCATTGGAGTGAGATGACTGAGGCAGAGCGACTCCAAGAGAACCTCCAGGCTTACCGTACCTTCCATGGGATGTTGGCCAAGCTTTTAGAAGACCAGAGGGTGCATTTCACCCCAACTGAAGGTGACTTCCATCAGGCAATACATACTCTTCTGCTCCAAGTTTCTGCCTTTGCCTACCAGCTAGAGGAGTTAATGGTGCTTCTGGAACAGAAGATCCCTGAAAATGAGGTTGATAGGATGCCTGTCACTGTTGGAAATGGTGGCCTCTTTGAGAAGAAGCTATGGGGCCTGAAGGTCCTTCAAGAGCTTTCACAGTGGACCGTGAGGTCAATCCATGACCTCCGTGTCATTTCCTCTCATCAGATGGGAATCTCAGCACATGAGAGCCATTATGGGCCCAAGGACAAGCAAATGTAGCAGTTAGCCCTTCCCTCTCCTTTCTTGTTCTGGTGAGATATAGATAGTTCCCTGAGGCCTCGTTTTCTCAGAATCAATTTTTGAAAACCTTAAACTGCAGGCATTTTCATCAAGTAGGGTTGGCTCACATATGAACAGATGGATATAAAGGGTTGTTCTAGGTGTATGCATATGTATGCACATGCTTTTTTTTGTATTGGTGATACAGTAGAGTAGAAACAAGGGCACTATCCTCATACCTTAGTGCTTTGACGTTCCTTGATACTAAGTGGCCTTTCTAGGCATTTAACAGTTTTACAGACAGAAGAGAAATTGTTACTAGTTCTGGTTGACTTCTGAAAAGACTGAATAAAGAAATAGGAAGTCCTAGACTATCGCTGTTGAAATTACCATAATAAAAATAACATTGCTGTGCTGAGGCAATTAGTGTGCCATGGCTTTATGTATATTCTAAATAACTTTTCATCTTTGTCTCAGAGGGTTAGAAGATGTGCCATGCAATCTGTCCCTAGCACTGAAAAGCAGCCCTTGCTACACATCCTCAGAAGTCAGCAAAAGACAGCCATCCTCAAGTATTTGTTGCCACACCTGGCAAAGAACAGCAACTATACATCTTCAGATTCTATTTGGGGGAAAAAATGGGGCCCACTGTACTTCCATACTTGGAAGCTGGGGCTATGCATTAATAGACTGGTTTAGTGTTGACTAGTGTACTTGAACATTGGGTTAATCACTTTATAGCAAGTTAACAGATGAGTGATATAGGTACTATAACTAGATGTTCGACAGTGGGTGGAATGCTCAGGTTAAAGAGTCACAGAGCTCCATCACCTTACATTCTCTGGGCTTAGTCATGAGGGAAGGATGAGGTCTGGTTGGTTCCCACTGAGAATGCCAGAGATTCTTAAACAACACAGTAATGCTCCACTTTTAATGTTCTTGTGAGAGCCACACAGCATGGAAGACTAGGAAACACATCCCTGAGGAAGGTCATTTTCCATGAGGCCTATGCATTAGTGGTGCATTGTGAATCTATGGTACCATTTGTTTTTACTTTGGTTAAACCTGAGAGATCGTGAGTTGGGGGCCATGTCTAATCATGACATCTTGCTTCATAAATGAACCATGAGTCAGAGAGGGCTAACTTCCATAAGTTGCATGAGGTGGGGATATGTGACTCATCTTGTATCCTCACCTCTAAGGGGTTCTATGCAGGCTAGAACTCTGATCAAGTATGTGACAGGACTCAGCCAAGCACTGTAGTAGCTCAGAGGAAGTGAGACCCTGCTTTCTACTGTGTTTGTGAAAATACAGTTGTATGTGTATAAAATAGAGACCAAAGCTAGGGTGGGATTATAAAGAATTGAAAGAGATCAATTAAAGCCACAAATAAATGTGTTTCCTGGGTTGGTGTAGTATGATATAAAATTTTTTTCTCTCTCCAAGAGAAAAAAACAAAGAGTTGGCTCATGAAAACAAGTTAGACACGGTAAACATCTGGACCCAGCACCATAAAAGGCCTATCTTATTATATTCCATTTGTGATTTTGGTATAGATAATTTCTCATTTTGTTTAGAAAGGCTTATTTTATTTGTGCTTATTAAATTGTTCTGTTTGTCAGCAGCATTTTCCATTTAATAAAGTATGTTAACAAGGTTCATGTTTGGAAAAAAAAAGTGGGTCTAAAATTTCCTTATGGGGAATAACAAGATTATGAACAATAGGTCACGAGTAACCTCTCTCCTAGGACTTGTGTGTCTCTCAGGTGTGACAGATACTGCAGGCTTTTCAGAAATCAGTGAGTCTGGCTTAAGCTCTATTCAGTTGCATATGAAGGAATATGTATATAGGTTTCAAGTGGAAGGCAGCCCAGAGAAAGTACAAATATTAAATGAGAAGAAATAGGAAGATGTCTCAGTCCTGTAGCTCAAAGAAATGGTGAGTCTCTTGAGTGCCCTGTCATCAGATTCATCTTCAAAAAACTTGGTGGTGCATGGCAGTATCCCAGCATTCAGGAAGTTGATGGATTGGGAGTTAAAGGGTGGCTTGGACTGCATAAGAATGTGTACATACATAAACCCCAAGAAGAAAAACAAGAAACTTAAAGTATGCCTCACAGCAGTATGTAGAAACCTTTCAGGAAATAAAGAGGGGGAGTGAGTGGGGAGATGTCTCAGTGAGTAAGAGTGTTTGTCCTGCAAGCATGAGGACCAGAGTGTGAATACCCAAAAACATGTAAAAGCTGAGCATGATTGTGTGTGCCTGTAACACCAGCATTGGAGAACAGAGGCAGAGTGGATCCTGGGAGTTCACTGGCCTTTCCAAAACAGTAAGTGTCCTGTGACATGGTTTCAAGACAATAAGGCAATAATAGATGAAGACACTTGGCATCCCTCTTTGACCTGAGCATGCATGCAGACTCATATGTGCCACACATGCACATACACAAATTAATTTTTAAAGGGGGTGGGTGGAGCTGGGCATGGTGGTGTACACCTTTAATCCCAGCACTCAAGAAGCAGAGGCAGGAAGACTCAATTCAAAGCCAGCCTGGTCCAGCTTTAGTACTACATAGACTGTTGAAAGAGAAGGAAAGAATAAAAGGGTAAATGGTACTTAGCTATTTAACACAAATATAAACGCGTGTGAGAGGTGGCATGTGTAGAAAATGCATCGTGTGTACAAGAAAGGCATAAAATTGAAAGGCTGACAATGTGCCAATGCTCTAGATGTATCTTCATAATGCAAGTAATAGTACTGTGGACACCAAAGACCTTAATGGGCCTGGGAAAGGGGTTGCTTTCAGCATGGGACATGAAACCTAGTGCCTCACATAATAAGCAAGCACTCTACACTGAGCTCCAGTCCCAGCATATTTGGAAGGGTATGGTTTCTAAGGATTCACAAGGTCAATGAGATTTTTCCTTAGATTTTATTCCCTTATTTCCTAGATCTGTCTATGGATAGAATTGCTAGAAAATCATAGTAAGATATATAAGTTCAGTTCCTTACCTTTAACCTTTACATTGTTATAAAAAAAGAGAGAAATTCTACCCCACAACTGACAAATTCTCCTTAAGATGATGATATGAAAGACTTAAATTTAGCACAAACTTGAGGCCAAGCATGGAAAAGAGTTTTAAGATACTGGAAATTGAGAGAAGTAATTGTTTTAATAAAACATGCAGAGTATAGTCATAGCCCTGATATTGCTGTTATTTCAGACTGCTGTGGATGAAAGCCCAATGACACTGTTGTGACCTCTGGCCAGAGGGGAAAAAGTCTGAAAAGTAATTTCAAATGACTTCTCATCATGCGTTCTTGGGTCCTCACTGAATACCAGAGCATCAGCTCATTTATTGCTTTTATTAAGGGTTAGCAACCTAGAAGTAGGCCTCCACCAAAATGAGGAATAGTGGGGGTTGAGTTGAGGTTTCAGTTGATCGTGGTGTGTGTGATATAATGTGGTTTGGGAACAGGGAAATCTTTAAAAGAGATGGTTTGGCGTCAACTTCAAGCTTCATGGTCGAAAATGAACCCTCTAAATCCTGGTACATTCAAAAGTAAAAGAACAATCTCACCACAAAAGCTTTTACAGAACTCTATCACTGATAAGAAAAAAATGAAATGTTTGGTGTTTAAGATAAATATCTATGTGCTTGAGATTCTTAACAAAAGAATGTTTCTTGGATCGATCTATTTTGGGCACAGAAAATAAAAGATGCTAGAATGGCTAACAATAGAGTTCTCTTCTCAGCAAGACCACAAGTTACTTCTTTTATTTCTGTGTCTTTGGATGAACAAGGGGAATTTCAAGTGATTTCAACACTGGATGAAATGTAATCCTCTCAGCCAGGGCCAGGCTCAATCAAGCATGCTGGGTAAATCTCCATGATGCCAGGCCACTGGGCAAAAATCCCAGGGTCAGGCAGACTGGAAAAGGCTGAGTGCCCCTACACCAGCAGGCCAAACGCTCCTGCAACTCTCTGAATATGTAGTTCAATCACCTAGGCTATAAATGAAGATTTGGTTTAATTTGAAGTATTTTATTCCCAGCCAAGCCTTTGGCTGAAAAAGATCTCTGAAGAGTCCATTTCTGGTTATTTTAGAGATAGAAATTAAGTTGTGACAAACCACGTAGGTGAAAATAAAATTGCTGAGTGTGTATTTCTGTCTGCATGATGAGTTAGTAGGAAAGAACAATGCGTTTACTTAGCATATGAGACAACTTGACACTGTTTCATGATATTTAATCCTTTGAGATATTATCATCTTTCACAGATGAGGAAAATGACGATGGGCATTAATTTGTTCAAGTTTATTCCTCTAGCATATGACAGGACTGAAGATTTAATTCTGGTCTCAAAGCTTTCTTCTATTCTCATACCGTGAGAGACCTGGTGACCAAGATCATCCGATTCTGAAATCCACCTTCACCTCTATAGTTCACTTTCCTTGGACAAAACCAGTATCAACTTGTCCCATAGGGCAACAAAACCAATCTAAGTTCCCAACCTGGGACAAGTCACTTTCTCTGAGCTCACTTATGAAATGGAAATGATGACAAATACCTGACCTCACAGGTTGTTACACAGTTCAGACAAATTATCTGTATGTACTTGTAAATGGCATGTGAACTTCAAGTGTATTTAATAACTCAAGCAGCCTAGATTCAAGTTACACTTTGGACTGAGGAGTGTACTCTAAATATTCCAGAGATTGTCATTTTCTCCCCAGGATGTACCTGGTGGGGTCATAACCTAGTTTTTACCTTGTTGACCTTAGGCTACAAAATACCAACCCAACCTCACTCCCAGCCCCCAGGAATCCTATATCTCTGGAGAGTTTGAGGCACAGGCTGTTCACTGTACACAGAAGACGACTCTCTGTAGTGTAGTCAGACAGGCCCTGGAGACACCTGGCAAGCCCTAGACTGGAGAGCCAAGGAAACATGCAAACCTAGGCACCACCCAAGATGTGTTAAAGCATGCATTTAGACTCATCCCTCTTATATCCACACCCTCCTCTTAATACAGGAAGGAACTCAAACTTCATTTAGTCCTGTCCCTTATTAGGCACCTAGTGTGAGAGAATCAAAGACATTCCAAAATCTGTCCCAATATCCCAGCTCCAAAGAGCAAGAATGAGAACTGCCATATAAGTCTGCAACACACACACACACACACACACACACACACACACACACACACACACACACCACTGCACCCTCTGGCCTCTCCATTAGACCAGCTTTCAGAAGGTATCAGCTGTCTTTCATCCTCATTATCTTAACACTCAGCCTCTTCAGCTCTTGTACCTCTAATAATCCTTTGAAGCTCTAGGACTTAGGTCCTTTGAAACTCAATGGTTCCAAGTACTGGAACCCTTCATAGCTTTAGCAATTCATAACCCTACATTTTAC